TTTCTAACCACGTCGTCATCTATGTAACAGTAGTTTCTAACCACATCATCATCTATGTTGACTTGTGATTTAGCCCCAAAAGTAACAGTAGTTTCTAACCATAGAAAATAGTGCTCATGCTTTACAAGTTTGCACAGAATATAAGTATATAATTAGGATGATAAGCAACCATTATACTTAATGTGGAAGTTAAAAAATATATATTTCAAAAAACTATCTTTGGTTCCTCTTTGGGAGTCTTCATGACCAAGGGACAAAAATCATTCCTCAAAAATCAGTGAGTTGAATATTCTTTGAATGCTCTCCAAAATACAAAGTCGTAAATAGATGTAATTTGTAAGGACTAACCTCGGCTGCTTTGCAACCTTCACACCTTCTTTCTCATCTGCTCAGACTCGTATGTAAACAAAAGTCATCCATGAACACAATTTGAGTACGAGTTCTAAATTTTAATTGTAATACCATGCATTTCCTTTTCTACTGTTCACAAATCATTTACAATGGGAGGCTAATTACTCTATTGGGAATCAAAGTGCTTTTGACTTTACCCTAAATGGGGGGTAATGGAATAGTAGAAGTATAAACTCTTGCAAATGTGCTCTACTTGAAACAGAAAAGTGCAGCCAGCTGAAGCACAGAAGAAACTTGGCTAGATGTTGAAGGATGCCATGTTGAAAAGACGTGTGCGTCTTTTGAATCATACACATAAAGTCAAAGTTGTGCAAAAATACCGAACTCCCTGCAGGCTTAGCTGCACAATATAAGTTCGTGCAGATTCATAACTTTCTCCAGATATTTAAGATGCCATCTGCAAACGACTTCAGATTTCCCCACAAATTTGATTTGTCTGAAGCAACTGCACTGTTGCTCTCCCTCTTGTTAGAGCTATCACTAGACATTAGGAGAACAAAAGCAATCTCAATATCCTATAGCAACATTACTAGAAAGAATAATAATATGACATGACCATAAATCAAGTGATCTTTAAATTAATGCAAAACATAGCTGTATGTTCTTTGCATAAAAATCATCCATTAATGCATAATCCAGGTTGGAAAACATATCTAAGTTCTAATAAATTCAAGAAATGCTCTAATCTATATAAATAAATGTAAAAGGTAAATTTACTATATGGTACTTATATTAGTGCTTAGAAATTGTTTATCAAAATTTTAAGCGCAAAGAAATATTTAACTGCTCAAGTACCGTTGAGATATGCGTAATAAATATAATTATTGATTGAGATATTATCTTCCTTATTTTCTTCTATGTCAATATTATTTATTTCCTTGTGTATATCTCTGATGTAATTCGGTACATATATGCCTGATTTAAATCCCTATAATCATGGGATTTACTTTCTACATATTTTCATAGTAAATAAAAAATGTTGAGAGCTAAGTCCTCAAACAATTCAGCACCCAAACCTTATTCTCAACGACATGTAAGTGTAACATCACCAAACCCAATTTATATTGGCATACACTAGTGCAGGTATTTTTCAAAAGATAATGAAAATAATAACACTGCAGTAGTCATGATAATGAAGCTGTAAATATCAAAATATATTAGAAGACTTACATTTTTGGACTATCGCTACCAGGATTGTCTTGTGCACCATCTTGCACTTTTCTCTCAAGTCCTGCTTTCTCAAGACTCTTAATTTCATTTGTTGGATGATTTTTTATATCTCCAAACTTAGAATCGTGGATTTTATCTTTGTTGCTACTACTGACGGATTTTTCAATTATCGGAGCAGAAACCTGTTCTATTTCTTCTTTCAGCTGGTGTCTTGCAGGTGCAACATAATCAGAAGGGCAACTAGATACAGTTTCATCACTCTTGACATCAATTGGCACCTGGAGACTAGAATGGGAAGCTTCACCATACATGTCTTCCAAAGCAGGTTGCTCCCTTCTCTCATAACTTGCTTTCCTAATGGATTGTTCCTCCATTTTTTTATGATTTTCCATGTCAAGAAATTCAGATCCATGGCCCCTACTAAAAGGTTCTGCTTCCAATTGTAACGACTGACTTTCTAGTGCAACAGAGTCAGAAAAACTAGAGACAGCTTTCTCAGTCTTAACATCATTTGGCATCTGGGGACTCGAGAAGTCCTTAAAATGTTTTTCCGAAATATTGCTGTCATATGTGGTGCAATGATCATCCTGTTAATAAAATAGGAGGCAAATTATAAGAACTACAAGAAACCCATAAGTACTAATAAAATAGCTCCTGTTTCATAGACCAATATAATAAAATTTAACTAATACTATAAGATATAAAAATGACTCAATTAGTAAGAACAGCGGTAAATATTCTAGAAATCCAGAGCTGTAATAGGAAGCCTGAACAGCCAAAAGGTGTAACTAAGAATATAGAAACAAATGCTGAGTAACTTTGCCGGAGCAGACCAATCAGATCTGCTTGTGTGCGAGTTCCTAATTCCTAATAGGATACATCTATTTCTAATGAAATTTTCATGATTTGCAAGCAAACTACCTAACTTGAGGTCAGATTGAGAATGGGGACAATGTTATACAGATATGCAGCAGTGCCTGAATCTCTTGTGTCAGTAATGCATTTGAACAAAGCAGTCAACTATTAAGTATAAAGTATAATTATTAACTGTTTTCCTTTTGGTTTTCGAAACTATCACCATGACTCAGGTCATCCTACACCTAAACAAGAATGTTTAATATCTATTGGAACATAAAAAACATACTCATCAGGAGCATTGTTTATGCATAACAGCTGTAATATATCCATAACTAAAATCAGTGTTTATTGTCAATGCTTACTGGTGTGGAGATGACTTCGACTTCATTACACAACCTTGCCTCCCAAGAGGAAATCTGTGGCCCTCCCTTTCCTTCAAGAAACTCACGCGCAAGGGTAACATGTGTAAGTACCGGTTGAACATGATTTTGGATTGGACCATCTTTGACAGTCTTAATATCACCAGATGAAACACTAACAGATTCAGCGGTTTTAAGCTTACTTTCATCAAATAGCTTTGCCACTGGTATCTCACCAATGTTGTTTAAAGGCTTCATTTTGGATTTGTATTCTAGTTCCTGAATGATTTCCCGAATAACATAATAACTGCCACCAACTTCTTTCTGGGTATGTTTTATTGCTGGGAGTTTTCCAGCATTCTCTGATTGATACCTGCACAGAGAAAGGGAATTCATTATTTCTACAATAACAGGAGTCCACATAAACCATTTAATTGTTAATTAAATTCCATAAATGATGACATCATTCAATATGTTGACATTATTAAGAAAAATAATAATGAGTGTCTAAGAATGTCAAACTTTTTCTCCACGCCTGTTAGATAATTAGAGAGATTAAGCTCATCATCACCAAACAGTACAAGATAAAAAATGAGAACCCCTTCTTGCAACCCAAGGACTAAAGTCAACACAAGAATGTGAAAATAAGTACAGATATTGGTTATTTCAGCATGAAATAGACCATTAAATGAACAGAAATCTTAAGGTAGGACAACTTAAAAAGAATTTACATAAACTTACTATTCTAATATTGACCATAGACAAAGGTTTAGCTTTAAGCAGGACATTTCGTACAGAACAAGTGTTTTGGTCATGCATGTCCATAAAAACAGTTCAATTATTGTATTCTTCAAGCATATCTATAACAGTTGAGGACCTTGGGTAGTTTTTTTTGAGGGGGTTGAATATGTATATTGCATTACGTCATTTAAATGTCTATATAGCATTGTAGCTCAGCAGAACAATATTTTATGAAAACAAAGAGAACATAGATCACTCCAAGAAGACACAATTGTTATTTTTTGAGGGAACTATGAAAGCAGAAATGCAAACAAGTATCATACATGATCAACAACAAGACCTTTCATTTACGGTCTGTTGGGTTCAACAGAAGGGACGAGAGGGGAGAGAAGAAAGGGGGAGGGGAAGAGATTTTAAATGTGTTTGTGTTGTGTTTGACTCAACAAGGGGGGGAAAGGGATTTTTGTTCTTAATAGACCCTTGTAATAATGTAATATTTGATGTCACATTAAATTCAATGATATTTAAGTCCGAATTTTAAACAAATATTATTTCCCCTCTAAATTCCATCACTTTTGGAGGGGAGCAATATCCCTTCAGAGTAAATTCTAGTTCCATTCCACTCCACTCTCCCTTCCTCCCTTCCAATTAATTGAACCAAACAACTAAAGTTTAAAAAAAGCACCTCTCCTTCCCTTCCCTCCCCCCCTTTAATCAAACAGTCCCTTATAAAACTAGACCCTTACAAACTGAGAACAGGATACAGAGTGAAATACGTGACATTAACTGAAAACAAAAACAGAAAATATTTTCTGAAACCAAACAAACATTTAACTTAAAATACCAAATTCATACTTAGCACATTCCAATTTCCTGAGAAAACAGCACAGGTATGAGCCAATGCATGCATCTATCTCTATTACATAAAAACATTTCATATGCCAAAAACATCCCACAATGTCACATTATGCATGAAACTTCATAAAACATTAAACAAAAGCTTCAACAACTTCAAAAGAAACATAGAAAATACTTATTCACAAAAGACTCCACCATAGCTCTCCGTTCATGTTTCGGAACCCTCTGTCCTCTTTTCTGGCGGGTATCTGAATTTTCTGAAGGAACACGAGCAGCAGCATGTGACCATCCACGCCACTGCAACTTTGATGATCCAACAGAATCACAAACCTCAATAGACACTGCCAAACAACACAGCAGATATATAAACACGCGATCGCATAATTGCTCATACAATAAATTTCGTTTTCATATCCAATTTCAACGCTGATTCCAAAGTGTGGCATTGTAAAACAGTAACTGAAACTAATAAATAGAACCTAGAACTAAAGTAACAATGATTTGCATAAGAGAAAAAGAAAGAAAGTTACAGTGATTGGATTTGGGAGTGACGTTGAGAATTGAGCGGAGGGAGGAGCATGAGATGAGAAGCTTCTTTCTCATACCGACGATTACGCTGTTCTTCGATGAGATTTTCTGCAACTTCAGCTTTCATGTAAGGCTTGGTTCTGTGATCAGATAGAGAGGGTTTAGGGTTTTGCAGTTTCGTTCCTTTTGTTCAAATCTCAACGGCGAAGAAACAGTATTGGTTTTTTGTTATTTCATAAATTCTAAAACATTCAAGAATAATTTATTCAAATTAATGATTAAATAAAAAAATTTCTTAATGACGATGAACTCACACTATAAATTTTTTTTACATTGTACTTTAATAAAAATATATTATTTTATAATGATATGTAAATAATTTAAAATTTTCAGTATGATTTAGTGAGATGCATAATCGTCATTGGTTGATAGTGTAAAATTAATTTACACCGTCAATGTATTACTTATTTTCTCTAATAAAATTATCAAACTCTCAAATAATCAATTTTCTATAAATTTCTAAACTACATATATTTTAAATAAAAAATTAATAACGCAGAATCAATCCAATTGACGATTGCATTTAAAAAAGTAAAACTAATTTCAATTGAATTGGCGCCTCTTATGATTATAATTAATCTTATTGATGTATATGTATAATGCCTTGGTGGAGGAGGTGTCAATTGTGTAATACTTTTTTTTTTAATTAACATAATAAATTATATAAAAAATGAATAAAAATTATTAATATTTAATTTAAATATGATAATACTTTAACATTAACGACGACAGTTGGTTTGGTCATACATATCACCAGTTCCACACCCTCTAGATACCCTTTCTCATACTGATCTCTGTCGATTCACCCCAGATATTTTATATGTGGTCTTTGGAACAACATTATCACCAGATTCCTTAATAAGTTTTTATAATTCAAAATAGCCTTATATTTGCATTAACTGGATGTCGTAATTGAGTTCGTGACCCATATCGATGTAGTTGGGTTGTATTAATAGGGTTATTAGTGAGCGGCATGGTTGATTGGATGACATTGGTGTGAATGATTCGTTGGAGAAATGAAGAAATAGTTTTTGTGGTGTTTGGTAGCCATATGTTTGTTGCAAGTTTTTGCGTTGTGATGTTTGGGTTTTAGCTATGGTAGGAGGAATTGTTGGTGTTATATGTTTCTAGGGTGTTTTGACTATGGTAGGATGATGTGTTTGGGGCATATGATTGTTGAGTGTTTTGATAATAAGCATGTGGTTAGTGGTGGTATAGGTATGTTCTTAGTTTTGTGGTTGGGTGAATGACATGTATTAGTTATGGATTTAAGTGTTTGTGGGTCGGCAATTTTGTTGGGTAAAGAGTTGTGTGTAAGTGGTTTGGTAATTTTGTTGGGGTTAGATGTTGAAGTTTCTTGTGTGTAAGTAGTTTGACGTGGGTCGTATAAATACCTATCTTCAGAGAAAAATTCAATTGTAACTGATTTGTACCAATACATATTATAATTAGTTGGTTTAGATTCGGTTGGCATGATTGTGTCGGTTAAGACTCGTTGATGACGACGCCTCCATTGACAATGCTCAGCTTTGGCAAAGTATTTCTAATCGCCAAAGACCCATTGTTCATTAACTTTACATTGATGCCAATGTTCGAGACATGTACGGGGATCTGGGATTTGTTGTTGCATGCCGAACTGCAGTTTCACACGATTACTATGATACATCTCCACAATGGTGAACCTGCTGATTGGTGTTATTGTAGTCTAAACGACTGCATCTTTTTCGTTGATTTTATGTTGATGTTCCAGACCCAGATATGGCATCCAAATAATTTGTAGAGGAAAAATAAATTAGTTTAGTAAATAGTTAATATTAAAAATATATTATTTTGAAATGATTAGTTTAGTGACAATACATCGTTTAGTGTTAGGCGATCAAAGAGATTTTAATATTGAATGATGTAATGTCTAGGACATCTGCTGGAATTCATCCCACGAGCCGACCACATAAATTAAAAAAATTAAAATAAACATTTATCAATAATAATTGGTAAAGTAAGTAAATGGAAATAATGTTATTAACTTATTTGTTTGCATAGGGGAATGTGAAGTTGTTGTGGTTGACGAGCGCTAGGAACGACAATTTAGACCAACCCCATGCCTGGAGCAAAACAGTGCATCCATAAAATATAGATGTGTCTTTATTTGTGTTTTTACACAAAGAGCTATAGAGATAGGACAAACAAGCTGAATGTTAACTATATGTTTCAATTTTATCTATGTTTCTTAATAAGGGTAAATACATAACATGTACACTAGAACCAGAACCAATACCTTCGAGAAATAATAATGAACCAATTAATAGCATAATATAACATCTAGTTTTAATTATTTTCCTTTATTCAGTAGAATTTGCATCTAATATTATACCGATGTAATAATTTTTAAGACGCGTAAGTAAAAAACCTTGGCCCCTTGGGTTAGTATCTAACAAGACGCCGCCAAAAGTTCATCATATATTGAATTTGTGAAATTGGTTATTTTATTGACTCCCTTACCCTCAATAGGTAGACCTAGTAACATGTACATGCCCTATAGTGTTACAGTACATTCACCGGTTGGAAGGAAGAAGGTATGTGTTTCGAGTCTCCGCCTTTCTTGTGATAACACGAAATCATATAGATATTTTCATGCATAATTCAACTAAAGTCTAACCGTTTTCGATCCGATTTCGGGTTATTTCCGTGTATTTGTCTAATGTTTTGCAGGTATTCAACGATCACGTCTAAACAAGGCAACATGAAGAAAAGAAGCAATCTCAGATGAAATATGGACGAAAAAGGAGTGAAAACACAATGAAAAGCGCAACAAGCTGTTTTTGCTGATGTGACGACCGTCACAGCTTCATGACGACCGTCACACGGGTGACGACCGTCATGCAGGCAAAAACGCCCAACTCAGATTACACGTCAAAGAAACAGTTCCAATTCCCACAGAGTGGACCACTACTCCCTAAATTATCTGCCTCAAGGTCCATCATCTTCAGAGATAACCGTTGGGATTCCACTTCTATAAAAAGGGAAGTAGGGGACTTCAAAAAGAGAGCTGCATCCATACCACGAAGTGCTGCCGAATTTACTTTCCAGAGCAATTACTTTCCAGTTTTATTTGTATTCATTTCTCTTTACCTTTCCTTATTCCCATTTCCGCTCTTCTGTAATTTCTATTGTACTGTACGATCAAATTGGCACTAAAGACCAGAATCCTGCCAACATCTGTGGAGGATTTGCCCAAAGGCCAATTGGCATATTTACAGGTTTTCATTTTGATCGACTTCAGTTTTATTATAATGCAAAATATCATTTATTATTCTTATTTATATTTTTTTTTCCCAAATCCATGTCTAGCTAAACTTAGGAAATCGATATGTAGTAATAATTCGAATGGGATTTGATAACCACTGGTTGGAAAACTTTCTTTTCACAAAAGTATTCTATGGTCTGAGTGTTTAAAATTGATTCACGGAATAAACTTCGTCGCGAAAGCGAGAACTTATTTAAAAGTAGTTTTGCCACGAAAGTGGGAAATTAATTAAGATACGAACCAACAAGCGAAAGCTGCGGTAAGGTCAGATAGTAAACACTAGGCATTTGTTTTAATAACAGCGAAAGCACTTTAAAATGAATTAGAACTTAGAGATTTCCAAAAAATAATTTTAACCCCGAACGGGATACGAAAGTGTACGTTTGGCCCTTAGGATTATGATTAACGTCAATAACCATCGTGAGACGAGAGTCTTCAAATCTCCATTTTCTGCTTAAATAAACTTTGAAAATTATTTCATACACCAGTAATTTATCAAATCCCTGAAGAACACAATTACTACGTATCGATTCAATTAATTATAATCTAAATAGAAATCTTAGTTCCCTTTTTAGTGACAATCTTATTCCCTTAAACATATTCTACCTAGCTAAACATAGTAACTCCCGAGAACACTAGTTTGATTACGAGTCCCTGTGGGATCGATATCTATTATTACTACGCGATAAACTATGCACTTGCAGTTAGTTGTATTAGACATAGAAAGTCGCGATCAAGCTTTTGGCGCCGTTGTCGGGGACCCGTTTAGTCAATAGTGTAACCTTCTGTTACGCCGTATAGACTAGGTTAACAATTTTCATTTTTCCTTTACTAGTTCTGTCGATTGTATGCCAAGAAATCGCCCGCAAAGCGATATCGTAAAACCTTCGGTCGCAGAACTAGAACGCTTCTTACATTTAAGATGTAGAATCATTGAGTACTAACTCAAACAACTCAAACATAACACTCCCGAACCTCTCACTCCCATTCCCAAATCAGAAGAAGAAGAACCAGAGATGGCTGAAGGACCTCCGAACAAACCGCTGAAGGCATACGCTACACCATCTCAGATGGAGCCTAGAAGTAGCATTGCTGCCCCAGCTATTACCCGAAATGATTTTGAGCTGAAACCGTCATTGCTGTCGGTTGTACAACAAAACCAATTCTCAGGAAACGCAACTGAGGATCCGAACGAACATCTAACGAAGTTTGTACAATACGCAGACACAGTGAAAGCAAATGGAGTAACTCCAGACGCGATAAGACTTCGTCTTTTCCCATTCTCTCTTAGAGACAGAGCGTGGACATGGTTATAATCATTACCATCCAACTCCGTTACGACGTGGGAGCAATTGAAGAACGTCTTCTTAGCGAGATATTTTCCGCCAAGCAAAACTGCTATGCTTAGAGCTCAAATCAACGGATTTCGACAGAAAGATACTGAATCTTTTTACGAAGCATGGGAACGATTCAAAGATATGATGAGAACATGTCCTCACCACGGTCTAGAAGACTGGGTGACAATCCATACCTTCTATAATGGGCTTCTATACAATACTAGATTGACAATAGACGCTGCCGCGGGCGGTGCACTTATGGATAAGCCATACGATGAAGCCTATCAATTGATAGAAAACATGTCACAAAACCATTGCCAATGGGGAGGTGAACGCACTCCAACTGAGAAAACCACAGCGAAAGGTGGGATGTA